AGCGACTTGGAAGCCGTTGAGAGATGGGCTGATATGTGGCAGATGACATTTGCAACATCCAAGTGTAGTATTCTATCGTATGGATGTCAGATAGCAGCAGAAGTGTTCAGGCTTCATGATGAAGTCATTCCCATCAGCCAGTCTGTTCGTGACTTAGGTTTAAGATATTCTAGTTCGTTAAACTTTAGCGAACATACAAACCATATCGTGAAAAAGGCTAAGCAGTCGGTCGGGCTCATATGCCACCTGCTAACCTTGAAAGAAACCAGACTAATTGCTTTCAAAATCAGTATCTGGCCTTTGCTTGAATATTGTTGTGCTGTGTTCAGTAACTTGCGAAAGGCTGACTTGAGAGCCATTGAAAACGTCCAACGCGCCTTTACGAAGCGCATATTTGGCTGTTCAACCGCTCTTTCATACCGAGATAGGTGCAAGCAACTGAATCTTGAACCTCTGTGGTTACGAAGAATGCAACTAAATCTGTGCTTCCTCCACAAACTCGCGTGGCGGAAAGCATATATTGGAACCTATCAATTGCACTTTCGAGAAAACACCACTTATGAACTGCGAGATAAAGAATGCATATTCTATTTACCTAAATTCAAGAGCAGTCTAAGGAGAAATTTCTATCTTCTTAGGTATGGCTCCATTTGGAATAAGCTGCCAAAAGAGATTAGATGTATTGAACATTTCTGCATGTTCAAGAAAATGATAAAGGCTTATCTGTCAACGGACAGAGCGAAATGGATCTTAAACATTCAATTTGATGATGAAAAACTGTATGAAGAAGGGCCGGATCATGTATGATACCGGAGAACATCAACTCTACTGCACCAGAGAAAACTTGATCAGCTAGGATGAGCTGATACAAACCGCTTCTTATGCTATTCCTTAACGCTACATTCCATGCGGTTTTACTCCCTTTCAACTTAATTCATATCAGATGTCTTCTGTTTAAAACCGATAGCAAAATTATTTACTGGTGTGACGTCAGGAGCTATTTTCGTAATTTTTCCCACAAATTGATTAATTCGTAATATTGTTCTGCGATCCCCTTCGCTACATTTGTTCTCCAGTGCTAATCATTTCCCCCTCTTTTCTGAAACTAACAGTCCAGAAACATATACTTGAATTCAAGTATGGCAATAACTGATTCCCTACGCGACTTTTGCCTATGGACAACTTGTACAGTCATCTGTCTCCGGGTGTCACGCTACACAATTTATCGTATGATCGGCTCGATCGATTTCTACGCCGATGTACAAAACATACCTGCCTATTTCTTACATTAACGATATAGTACCTCTTTCACAGAATTCTTCTTTTCCATATTCTTCCTTATTTCATAGTTGGCCACGAATGGGATGATCTCCTGTGGTGACGGATTACAGCTTCCAGATTATAAAAGACGTTACCTATGCAAGGCAAATTGCCACCAACTGTCTGGCGTATAAAAAAGTGCCATAATAGAATGATCCGCATGACGGACTGGGCTGAACCTTCATGGCCCATAATACATGTTCAAAAACAGCTCTAAAATGAACAAAACATATGATATACAGGTGATGGCTCATATGCTACTATGCCACACCGGCACACGGCCAGTTATTGCATGGAAGTGCGAGCGAAACCTTTCGAGGGAATACCTTGCATGGAAGCAGGTCCCCTGGGGATGGTTCCACGAGTGGCCGTATTACTTTAACTGGACATCTGTTTAAATTTGCTTACGTTATTTTTCCTGCTTTTTATTTTCTTTAATGCCTTAATCCTGCCAATTAGTTTAGTACCTGTTTTTGGATCCATTGTAAAAAGCGTGAACAAATTGATTATTTTTTTTGCGATCTTGTTGTACACATTGATCAGACCACATAGTTGGACTGCACCTCGAAACACCGAGGAATATAACATTTATCATTTATCAAATGAAAGCTTGTCAACAGAGGCGACGTGAGCAAAAAATAGTTACCCTAGTCGTTCTATGCACATATCCAGATGGTAGAAAGTATACAGTAAAAGAATTAGTTGGATTTGTGAAACTGTAGTTTGGCTTTCAAAATATCATCAATGTTTGCTTTAGAGAGGCTGCACCCCATCCGGAGAACTACTTAAAAATGTTCATCAGTCAGTGTCGTTCGCTGAGTTGACCTCCGATACTTCTTTTTGAGAATGTTTGCTCACACACATACGTTGTTCCACACACTGATACCATACCACCGGCAAACTTCTTCAGTTCCGAAAATGCAACATTATGCAAGCGGCGGTAAGAAGTTTTCCTTCCCTGTGCCTCTATTTCAACAATTCATTTGCCTGCAAATCAATTTGTTCCAATTGTAGTTTAAACGGAACATCAAGGTTGCAATCAAACGGGTTCTGGAACAAAAGACTTTTAGTCTCAATTCTGTCATTATTTGAAAATCTCCCTAAAAATTGCTTTATTAATTCACGAATAACTGTTCGTGGAAAATCAGGAAAAACATCTTGCTGGTGTTACCGGTCCTTGTGAGTAGGTAACACGCTGTCGACCGAATTGTCGAAACTGGAAACTAACAAGAAAAGAGCCAAACATAGCTGGGCTGTGGCGGTAATGTTGCTTGAACCTGTTCGAAAAGAGGGGGATCATGCAACGAAACGATCGAAGTGTATCCGTGTGAATGACGTAGCCACAGCACTAGGCTGGGCTAGTCGATTTTTGTGTGCTCAAATTCGGGTATCATTGGCGGGCCGGATGAACTAATGACGCGCGCCGTAGTTTTGTGACCTCTGATCTACGGAACTGGTTAGATTCTCAGTGTCTAACATACGCCTACTTACAACAGTTTTGCGGACACGTTGGGGCCACCGTACATCAACAATGCCCTGCAAATAACGGTGATCAGATCCTGGAACCGAAGGAAGCGATTCTCACTATCGTCCCGTGTGTTCCAACTCTAAGGTCTATCTTAATCCCTTCTGGCGCTACATATATCGAAACTTTAAGTTAGCAGTACTCATTTTCAGCAGCCGCACGTGCAACAGATATGGAGGGGCTGATAACAAAGTTCGGTATACAGGGCAAACAATTTCTGATGGTCGCGCAAAGGATTTTCACTTTAAAGGCAACAACGAGTGAACCAATTCCAAAGAATATATCCACGGTTGATTGTGTCACTTCTTGATTGTTGAATCGAAGGGCGATATTGTCAGCTTAACCCATCAACCTGCAGGCAGTCCACTATAAAATTGGATATAGTTGGGGGCCGAACTACCTCGAGGACTGTCCCTTGATACCGGAATGACGTCCGACAGCTCACAGTAAACTTTGACCCCACCTGCGGTCCTTGATCACTGGACAAGTGAAATTTTCCCTTGCTTCATGGGTCACTCTTCCAAGAAAGTAATGTTGAACAGAATGAATCGATCGAATGAATAAGTGTCGCTGGAACCGAAGACCACAGCTTTAGCCCGTCTGCAGAATGTCTACTTCTGTTCTAACACCTGTAGCAAGATAAATCTGTGGTCTAGACAACCTCGTTCCGACTGGAAATGCAACTATTCTTCCCTCATTCATGACCCGTATTCCTAAGTAAGATAACTGTAGCTAAAGGCTACTGCTTGGTCTTGGCATTACCAGTGTTATCTGCTACACCTTTAACTGACAATAACATTTTGACTGCACACCTCGCGCATCATCAATGACTCAATCTGTTAAACCCTTTATTTGGTGGGCACTATTCGTCAACCCAAACTTTCACTTGGATAATCTCTACTAGATGCCCTACAACTTGCACAATTCAACCCTTACATTTTCACTGTTAACTCTATAACCGCCATCTCAAGTTGACGCGCTGGTCGCGGAAAGTTTTGTTATATGGTGGTTATCCGTAGGCCGATCGCCGTCTCTTTAGGATTGCTAAACATCTACCCTATCGTTCGAGAACGCTTCGGTACTCGTAGACAAAGACCCATTCCGAATGAAGTTTGACTTTTTCATTGAATTCAAAGGAGATCATGTGAGTTATTACCTTGAGCAATTATTACCCCCCGATTATAGTTTCAAAATATCAAGGAGCACCATTGTGAAACAAACAAGCAAGATCGTACACTGACAGTAACACAGAAGCCCATTTTCATTGATCTGCCTTTTAAAGGTGACAATGTGATGAAGGTCGTATAGAAGCGCATAAGCGCCTCACTGGAGATGGCGTACAGCAAGGCGGAACCGCTGCTTCTTATCTCGAGTAGATCTATGCTAATGTGTTCAATCAAGACACCGATGACGAAGCACTGCATGTCCCACTGTCTGTCCAAATTTACCTGTAGCTGTGGAGACAGCTACGTTGGGCACGCTGACTGCAGTCTAGTTGTCAGAAACAATGGACATCTCTCAGAGTGGATACGCAGCCGGATGGGATTTATGATGACGGAATTAATTGACTCGGGAAACGGTGCTGCCTCAGCAGTCACTAAACACTTGCTGACTACTGGTCACCGAGCCAATCCTGGTGAGTCGTTCACAGTTCTAATACGCGATCAGCGGCCCTAAATCAGTAGGCTATTGGCAACTATCGTTATCGATCACGAACGACCATTGCTGGGTATTCAAAAACAGCTGACAGTGACCCTAAGCCTACCATGGTAACATGCGTTTTGCTATTTGCAATCCCCATTTGTTTGTGTACCAATATCGCATGATTTTTTATTTATAAAAATGCACGAAATGACGGCGTCCTCTCAAAATCTATGTCTACCGAGTTTTATGTTTGGGATCGAAGATTTGTTACTCCACCTTCCTTTCTCAGTATACTTACAGTCCGCTAAGAATTCAGGAAAATGACGACGTCTTGATGTTTAAGTGGTGCGCAGACCCTTTCTCTCTCACTTCAGCCAATACTTCTCGGTGCATGGCTGAATTCGATTCTAAACGTTAACTCCAGAGTCGTAACAGTGTTTCCGTGGCCAGCTATCAGCTACCTGTTTTATCACCATTTTCATGCAGTATTTTCCAATCGTCTCTTGTTTAGAATGAAAAAGCATTATGAGGAATATGAGCCATTGCTGAAACAACTACAAAAGAAATACAATGCGGCTATGAGGGAAAAAGCACTCAACCTCTTGGAACGGGATCGTGCCCTGGAATATGCCGAAGATTTGCGTACCGCGCTCGCCTCCTTACAAAAGCTCGGGATAGTCGATGAGGAGAGCCGTGCGGTCGTGGGGACAATCAATCGAAATGGAGAACCGTCGGACCAGACCAGAGGTGCAAAGTACGTGGTTGAGACTGCTCATACCAAACAGAACCGCGATGTACTCAACCCAGCCGGTAAAAGCAAGGGACAGTCGGATACAACAAAGAAAACCCAATCGGGAGTAAGTGTATCCGTATGCCAAGGTTCAAGGCATACAGTGTGTGTATGTATTGGGGAGGGGAAAACTACTTACCCTTTGAACGTTTTTCTACCGAGCGTATATTCCACTTTGGTTCTCACTTGTGATAGTTGAGATACATCTTCGAGAAGTGCTCTGCACCACTGTGAGAAGAGGCGGTGTTCGCCAATCTCCAACACAGACTTCGCCAACTGACATCGCCAGATTCCCACTGATCGGTTGCATCCCCCAACTCAGTAGCACGAGCTTGTTTGTAGACTTTACGACGGCAGTTTTGACACGTTTATTTTAGATCAAGTAATCCAAACCGAGACGAAATTGATTTGCTGTTAACACTTTTACTCGCAAGGTAGCATGGCTCCGTTATCGATTTGTGGTACAGAAAGTGGGTGCGACCTGAACCTGGATCGTGTGAGGTTTCTAGCTCATGCAAAACCATCGATTTGTTCACTATAAGTGCAGACACTGGATCGCATTCCTTAGCCAGAAAGCGTTGTATTTATCGGATCATCAAATCACAGAATCCACGGACAACAGCCGGAACGATGAACTGGAACCAGTACGAATTCAGTCTTGCCGATGTTGAACCCGCTCCGCTCTCAGCTCTGCCCCAGCCGACACAGATGTTCTTTGATTTAAAACCATCTATACTCATACTGCGTTACAACCACCATTCTTACAGGAACAGAATAACACCATCCACACCACGGTTGCTTCGCAAGGATCCCTCTGTGCATGACAGAGCTGAGTTTTAATCTGTCAATCGGATTAGCTCCCTGACCGCTTTGGCTCCCACACGTATTCCTATGAAATATGTGAACATCCGACGTGCTCTATACTCGAACACTACAGGCCGCGTCAGGGTCTATGGTGTCCTATCGGATAGCTTTCCGACCACTAGTGGCGTTCATCAGGGTTGTCCGATTTCCCCGTTTTTGTTCAATTTCGTCATGGACTGCAGCATGGAGTGTTCCCTTGCGGCAAACTCACAATATAGGCGTTAAGATCCTGCCTGGTGAAAGATTAGTTATTCTTGATTATGCGGACGATATCGTCTTGCTTTTCGACGATGTTGCGGCGGCGTACTCAACCCTGAATAGCCTGTCTAGAGTGGTCCCATTATTTGGTTCGCACTTCGCACCTTCAAAGTGCAAAGTGCTGCTACAGGACCACCAGCCAATTTATGACCACTTGACCCTTGCTAACGAGAAACTCGGGGTGCTTGATCAATTCATCTATCTTTGCAGCTTCATCAGCAATGATGGGCGCATAGAAACTGACGTCAGCTCACGCACTGCAAACGCCAGAGCTGTCTTCTTGAAGTTGTGGCATCTTTGGCGACAGAAGGGTTTCCGTTCGTCTGAAAGGACGCGTATACAAGGCCACAGTGAGGGCCGTTCTGCTGTATGGTAGTGAGACTTGGCCCCTTCGGTCTGTAGATCTGAGGCGCCTTCAAATCTGATCATCGTTGTCTGCGAAGCATTGCTGGTGTCGGATGGCACCAGCGTGTCCGCAACGATGATGTGCATAGGCGAGTACAAAGTTGTGATAATCTTGATCCCTCCCTAGCACAACAGATCGCAGTGAATAAGTTTGGCTTGCTCACGTGCTACGTATATTTGGTCACCGCTTACCTAGGAGGGCTTTGTTTAGTCTACCAGATGTAGGATGGCGCAAAGCTCGAGGTGGACAGAAGTTGACTTGGCAGCATGAAATGAAGTCACTGACGACTAAACTGGGTGCCCTCGGTCATTCTCGCTTTCCGGGATGGAGTCCACGTGACCCGCCTGGTGTTTGGCTCTAGACTTTACAAGACGTGGCTCACAAGCGACACCAGTGGCGCGTCTGCTGCCGTCTCCTAGTCGGATTGCATGTTTAAAGTGTGTTTGGTGCTTAGTTATCTGCGGAGTACTGGCTGGTTATTAGGCGGGGCAGTGAAAGCCACAAGGAAGCTGTCTCGTCGATGCCGCCTTATCTTTGCACGACAGCCAGCTGTTTGTGACGGTATGTTGCCTACAAAATGCTTAGAGCATTAAGGGTTTCAGGTAAGTCCCCCTTCTCTCCCTCTTATTATTCTTTATTTCATAAGTCATCATGGTTGTATGGCAGCGAAGCATCAGTTCAAATAACTGATGTACTGCTGTTGTTGATTGATTGATTGGTTTATGCGGATCAATTGGAAGGACATGGGTTAATTGCCTACTGCTCCTGCGTCCTCCATTTCTTGAGTCCGACTGGTCCACCAGACTTCTTTTCTACACATAGGCTCCGCTTTGTTTTGCGCCTGATAATCCGTCTGGTCACATTGTGCTCAGAGCCAGCCGGTAGGTTTCTTCGAGATTTCAACAGGTTCACTGACCTCTCGGATATCGAGTGACTAGTGCGGTGAAAACTGATAGTGACACAAGCAGATGCTCCTGCGTCGTGCATGGCGGCCGAGATCCTATTCCACTGAAGCTCAATGTCATTAGAACAAGACAGTGAAAGTTCGGTACTCAGCGCTTCTTGATAAGTTTGCCTGACCGAGTGTTGGGACAATTTGTCAGCTGCCAATCGGGGAAGACGCTTGATGCGCCTCCCGGTTAAGTTCATGGAGAAACAACAGCGTACCGAGGCATCATAAGAGTCGGCGCAGGTATTCCACAACGAGCGGCAATCCAGAATGGAACCACTCCACCTGTAACATGGCTATGTGGTCAATTTGGGTCCATCGCTTGCCAGCTACAGGAGGACGCCAAGTGACACTTCGGCGTTCAGTGTGTCTGAAAGCAGTGCTGCTAAGAAACATCTGGTGCTCAACACACATTTGTACAAGACGCTCGCCGTTATCCGTACGGTCAGAGTTAAGCCCATACTTACCATCCAGTTGACCTTCTAAAGACCTCAGGCGCCCTACTTGTGCGTTCATGTACCCTGCAAGTACGATAATATCTGAACTAGTAGCACTGTGTAGCACCATGTTCAGTTCGTGATAGAATGTATCTTCGGTAGCATCAGAACTGAATTCGGTGGAGGTATAAGCGGAAACCACAAACAAACAGCGTGTTGTACTATTTCATAAATCAACTTTGGTCGATGTCGTCAAACGGGCTGTACACAAACGGCTGTTCACCGGAATCCAATCAACCAACGATAACTCAGGCTTGGAGCTGAGAACCATACCTACCCCAGCCTTACTCGTGAGTGCTGCATCAGCATCTCCGGATGCGTGCAACCAATAGCGAGAGGACAAGCCGGGCGCAGTTAATCCAACAGACTCTTGATGGTCATTGCTCCTACTTTCGAACACACAACCTACCTCAATGCCCAGTGTGACGAACATACGTGCGAGTGCAGCCTGTTGACCTATTTGTCTTAGAGTGCAAACATTGAACACCGCCAGGGGAACGGAGCAGCGTGGCCTTATAAGGTACTGTTGCCGATAGGCGTCCAGTGGGTGGTGCGGGAAGGTAGCTGTCAATAAAGCTGTGAATTGTAGAATAATGGTCAGTAATGAGTGTTGGGATGGGAGTAATAGAAACAGGTGAAAGAGAAAGAAGGGAGGCGTCAGCGGTAGCATGATTTCGCTTATCCGCCCCGCTGTATACAGCAGGTAAAGCGATACTTAATAATCTGCGCGACTGCCGATGCAGGATGAAGTTTATGTTTGAAGAAAATGTCATGGTTGTATGTGGGCTGAGCTACTGCCAGGACTCCCAGACTTAGATAGGAGGACAATTAGGGTCCTCAACCAAAGCTTTTGGATCAAAAGCCTGTCCGCAAGGCAGCGGGCAGGTGGCAATGACTTAGTTTTATAGAAATGGACGCCCCACCCCCCAACGTGGAGGACCAGGAGACGGAGTTTTTCTGATGTCCAACCGATGACCAACTTGGTGGGCGTAGCTCTCAAAGAGCCCGAAGACACCACCTAGTATAGCTCAACGGATCAAGGAGGTACACGAACCGTCGCACAAGCTTAAGGTCCAGTCTCGTTGCGACGGATGGTAACTGCGTGCAGTTAATTGTTCCAGTCTAAAGAGATTAGAGAAACCCACTAGATACACACAACTAACCCCGTTCTTCCGCGACACCGTTCATTTTTCTGACCTAGCTTCAGTATGTGGCGGTAACATTGTTGGGGTTCAAGAAAATGTGTACAGTCATTGTGAGGTTGCGTCACCTCTGATTCATAATCAGAAGATCTAAAATAAACGTGCCGGAACCGTTACATCACTTGTCTAGTAGTAGTGAGACAAGACTGACACTGCTTTAAATATTTACTTGCACAGGCAAGAATTACAACTGGTTCATGGAACACAATGCAAGTTCGCCTACATTCGAACGCGCTTGCGCGAAACCAATAGATTTTCACCTGTCGTCTGAATGGCTGAAAGTTTGAGGCTATATCATACACATGAGCTCTCTACCAAAAGCAATAAACTGGTGAATTCCCCTAACATATTCCAAGAAATACTTGGATATGTCTGTTTACTTCGATTTTGGATAAAAGGTGAATGAAAACACCGTTTATGTTAGTTCCTCTCCCATGGGGCACCAAGTAAGCGTGAAGCATCCGCGGCAGAATGAAAGAGTCAAGACGTCCTCCATATGAGCTCACTGTGTTGGTTCATGATTTTTCATACCTAGGTGAATTACCTCGAGTAGTCGAGGTCTTCTTGAGTCAGCGACATAAGACCATGACTCTGACAGACTGCCTGCATTACACGGTCTCTATGCGTACTTGAACTGTTTAGCTAATAACAGTTAGGAACTGATTTTCATTCACCAGAGTTAAATAGGAGAAAACTTTTGGTTGACCACTCGTAGATCCAGTCCAGGTGTTATTGGAATAAGTCGTGGTCTTCTTGAACAATGAACAATGAATTTATACGGGTTAAGGAGCGTTGTTTTACAAGTCTCGTTGGATAGTTGGTGGGGATATCAACATAACAATAATGATAATAAGGACAGTAAAATAGTTAATAATTTAAATATGAAAATAA